AGCTGCTGTACTGGGGACACAACTTTTTAAGATTGTAGACCTTTTAAAATGATCTGTCTTAGAACTTCTTAACCCACTCTTGTCTTTGTCCACAGAGATAGCAACCATTCTAAGACTTCTCCAAGTTGACGTTTTATTCATATGCAAATCATAAAAGCTATTTCAAAGGCTTCACAGAAATGAAACGTTTTCTTTTCATCCGTCACTCCCCATGGTTCAACTCTGTCTGTTTTCTATTCCTGTCGCTCCGACTGCTATCTCTTTGTTTCTCTTGATTAAGCCCTCTGTTGCAGTATTGTTTAGACTGCAGCAGTGAGCCACAATTACTTGGTGCAGCGTTAGTGTATTGTAGAACACTCATTACAATTACCTCTGGGTGTATGTGTCATCTGTTTGCTGCTCCAGTTCCAATTTCTCTGCTAGTGGTGATGGAGCTGCATTCAGATGGTTCAGCATGAATGTAGCAACGCAGCTAAGATAGAGGAAGTCAGAGCTCAAGTCAAATTTACAAATTAATTAAAGGTGCATTCTGCAAAAAAAGTTAAAATGTATTTTATATTCAATTTATTTTTATTTTTATTCAAATCAATTGATACAAACATGTTACAGTTGCTGTATTTTTATTTTTAGGCCCCCAGAACCTTCCGGATAATACTGAATCACCATAGTCTTTTTCCATAGGCCAATATATTATATATAGAGCAGGGATGCTGCCCTGTGTTTTGTGTCTTCTTCTGTGGTGTAAAAAGTCACATTACATGGGTACTACTGCCACCTTCTGTAAAGGAGTGTGAGTAGGCAAGCCTGCAGATCGTCTCTCAAGGTTTTTTTTTTTTTTTGCTTTGGCAAAGCCCATTAACCCACTAAAAACTAGTCTGAGACACGACCCACCATTTGAGAAACACTTATTGAAATGATAAGGAGTAAACATTTCCACACAATAAATAAACTGAATGCTGTTATTACAGTACATACGCACAATTATACAACATTAACCTTGTACTGAGTGACTACAAACCTCAAGATACCTACTGCTAAACCTAGTACCATTCATTTAAACAAACCAGATTTTTGTAATGGTGTCTATGTGAGATTTCCAGACGTTACATCTGCCCGATCAGCTGTGACAACCCTCTCAGGGATTTCCCCCAGGACCCCAGCATGAATGGATAACTGATATAACAGCTCATGTAATGGATTCATGTGATGTGCTGATGTTCCTGTGTGGTGTGGCCATCTCCCCCACACACTCGCACACATTATATATAATACACTGCTTTTGTGTTATCATCAGTTCTCTCGTAATAAATGCATTCTTAAATAATTTGACTTGGGCATGGACCTGGCAGAAAAGATTAATAAAAAAAACAGCCTCCTCTGCTCGCTACTTTCTTTTTTGCTGCCACTTGCAAACAGGGAGTGTTTTTTGCTGAGATATTGATATGCAAAAACTGTCTTGGTATAGCTTTTCAATGCAGTGATTTGCACAATACCAATTCACAGTCACTTTAATGAATAAAAACACAGGCTCTAACCTTAACCTCTCCTGCTTACGTTCAAATACAGCTTCCACCGCAGCTAAAAGATCCTGGATGTTTTGCAAGTCGAAACTGGATGGCATTTCTGAAGAAAATAAAACCAAACCACAACCATTTATTTTAAAATACAATCAGTGAGAAGAATGATTTTGTTTAGATGTTTGAAGTGTGAACAGTACCTGCCTTCTTCACTGTGGGACTCCTGCTGTAAATCTATCTGCAGCAATGTTTTATCACTGAACTTTCCTCGTTAGACAAGATTTTACAAAAATCCCAAGAAAAGCTACATTTCAAAACCTGCAAACGACCCCAGCATAAATTTGCACCATTAAAACCCCTCTGGACAGAGTGTGCATAAAGTGCTGTGTGTGTGTGTGTGTGTGTGTGAAGCATGGAAATGTAGTCGTCATAATGAGAACGCCTCTGGCTTCCATGGACACGTCCTCTAACATGCACGCACAAAGTGCTTACTCTCATCACATTGCAGTGTGTTGATGAATAATGCACATATTAATCTTCTAATGTATGGACGCTGTCCTAATTAATTCAACATTTCCCTGTTCAGGTTATCTAATTAATGTGGCTCCAGTATAGTAACTAGTTCAGTCAGCAGCATATTGACAAGGAAAGGTTCAGAAGAGAGACGGATTTTCTCCAGTTTTTAACGAACACATCGTCCAACGCACCCACACTAGTTTTTTAAAAATTAAAAAAAAAAAAAATTCTGTGAAAATGTAAAAGAAAATCACTGGCTGAGGATTCATCACACCAACTATACTGATGTCTTCTTCCAGTCCAGTTCAGTAAAAACCTGCAAAGGTGTGTGGAGATATAACCTTCTATCTGGTGTCCATGGCCTGCGGTACAACGCCCCCTGTAGGAGCAGAGACTGGTGGCGCTACACCTGTGCTTGAATCTAAGACTTGATCCAGATTTGGAGCAGGAAGAAGCGCAGTTTGAGGAAGAAGCGCTGCAGGTGGGGCAGAGGGAAGTGAGGCTGTGCTGGGGGGCACGTGGCTTGTGACCGCACCGTCTGCCCCCCCTCGGCCCTGACCTTGAGCTTTTTCCAGTAACACCTGGACGCTCCTGGAGAAGATGACTCGGGGGTCAGAGGCAGGCAGAGCAGGGCAGACGCAGCGTTCCCTCAAGACCAGAGCCTGGAAACAAAGAGACAGAAGAACACAGGCTTTGGTCAAAATATAAAGTATAGAAAAAAAAAAGTAAAAACTTACATAACTCTCTTATTTAATTCTCTCTGGAGGAGTAGGTAGAAGCCGAGAGACAAAATTACCCTGAACCACTGAATTAATGCAACAATAGTTACAGATTTGACTAGAGGGCCTTTAAAGGGCTTAACATCGCAATTTAGTATGCAGAAACAATATTCTGATAGAAAACTTTGTAAGTTGCCCTGTTCTAACAGATTCTCTTAGGATAATGGTTAGCTTTAGCCTGTGGCAGGGGCTACCAACTACATTTGTCGGCCAGAGTTTTTTCTGGACTGACAAAAATGAAATAAAAAAACATATTACTGTCTAATATTGTTATGTGATGTATCCAGTGGTGGCCGGATTGGATGGTTTGACGGTTCAGATTTGGCCCGGGGCCCACCAGTTGATGATCACTGGCCTATAACCTGCATTCATTCGTCTTTACACAGTACTGTTAAATGTCACATGATTCTCAGTTAGAGATGCACTGACTTCTGATTTCTTGAACATTCTACTCCGACCGCTGTGGTTCACTGTATGATGTTCTTTGGTTCATGGCTGTTCTCTGCTAAAACAGAACTTTTCTTTCTTTTTGACAGTGTAATTCAAGACTGAGTTAAGTGAATTAGTTTCTGTTTTATAATAAGAATAGATAATATGACTAGTTTTAGTTTTGAATGCAAAGTAAAATAGATGAGTGGAAATCATTATAAAAGAACGTGTTATACTGTTTTGTCCTGGACTTTACAGAAGATATATGAGGAAACATATGACTGGTTAGAAAGTCTCACAGAGGTCGTATTAGTAGAAGTGGTAGAAGAGAAGCCAAAGGACTTCCAAAACAATGAATTGTATTCTCTCTCACACACACACACACAGTCATGTACTTCTCACTATCTACATTCACTCTTCATATTATCTAAAAGACTCGGGGCACATACGGCCCTGTCTCCCCTCCCCTCATCCAAACAGCAGTCTTAATGTAAGCAACAGGATGATGAGAACACTAGCGGAGGCAAAGTGCCCTCGCAAGAGTCGGGTTAACTAGCCTGATGCAGTTAGCACTTCAAAAGGTTAAAATCATCACATTATGCATCAATTACACCAAACTGAGCTCAGCTGTTGAGTGGCTCAAATGCTATAGTGGATGAAAAGAACTTGAAATGGGGAGGGGGCGGGGGTTCATAGAGCAGAGCCAGAGAGAGGCTCCTCTGCATACACTCACAGACACAATGGAGGCCAATGAATCCCCCGAACAACAGTCTTCATCACTTCACTGCCTGTGGCTGCAGTCTGGCCTCCATACAACTGCTGCTGGAGGTCAAGCTGCCACACAGGGATATGACATGATGCAAAGTTTTATGCCTAACACACAAACACACACCCACACACACAATATTCAATGACACAGGCACCTGATGGACAATTACAGGTTTGCCCATCTGTTCGTTTTTAGTGCTGGCGGCATCTGACAGCGATTCAACAGTCTGACTGACTTTCAAGGTTAAACCTGTTGTTGCCTGGCCCACTGTTATTTCTACTGTCTCAAAGTCAGACACACATCCATGTACAGTGATGAGAAATAATGACTGCTGTTTCCAAAGGTGTTTCCACACCGACGCTTGTTGATTTCCTTCAAGCCTTGAGGTGCAATTGATTGTAACTGCATAGTGTGTGATCTCTGTGAGATTGAGCCGCTACCTGTTCACTTTCAGCGTTTCCAGTCGACATGAGAGGCAGACGCGTGTTCAACTTTTAATGGTGTTGCTGCTCTGTCAGATGAGGATTAATGGTGCAAACCAGTAAATACTGTTACACTGTTATTTCTCACCAGACTATTTTTAAATCAAACTATTTGTCTAAAGTTTAATCTGACTGTTATGTCAGCAGGGAGTCACGCAAACCTGCAGGAGAAAAACATCAAATTTTACTTGGAAAAATAAAGACAATTGTTATTATATATTTGGAATTATTGACACCTAAACTGCCTGTTAAAGTATCTATATTTAGGATGTTTCATATATTACCTTAAAATATATCTGTTGTTAGGGTGGGTTTTGTTAGAGTTTTCAAGGATACACCTCTAACCCCTGTTTTTAGTTTAATTGCTGCTCTTGATAAAGAGAACATTTCACAAACTAACTTAGTTAAATTCCTTAATAATGTCAGATTCAACAACAGTTAGTTTAATTAGTTTAGACTAGATCACATGCAGTGGACTGTTATGGCAACTGGGGGAACAGTTGTGTCTTAGTTTGACTGGCTGCTGGTTCCAGTGTAACTTCTCATCCATTCCATTGATGTATTATGTTATATCTATTTTATCAGTATTTTTTGCTAATTGATTTTCTAGAACATGAATGTTGGACTTGACATGGCTCCATTAAGTTCCCTCTTATTTTACTCATTCTCAGCAGAGACAGCTTGGAACTTTTGGTATTTGCTACTTTTGGTAATGCTAGACCAGAGTAGGTAATCGGCTGATCGGAGTATTCTATGAGTGAGCAGGAATTTATGCTAGTTTTCAAATAACTAAACGTTGTAAAAATCATTAAGACGTCATATTCTGCATGTGTGCTTTCAGTCTGATATACAGTACAAAGGCCATTAAACCTCTGCCTCTGTTTTTGACCCTGGTGACACTCATCTTTTTATTAACGTCCATTTATCTTCAAATCAGGCAGAACCTTGTAACAGTTCACTCACAGACAGGTAAAATACGTGGAGCCATATCAGCTAAACTCAGAGGGACACTGTGTAACACTTACACACTGAACCTTTAGGAGAAGTTACCACACACCTCCTACAACTAAACTGTTTGTCTTCACCTCTGGAATAAGGCTGTCCATCTGTGTGAATCTGTTCCTGTGGGAAGGATGTGTGGACAACCACTCAGGAAGAGAGGGCTGCCCAGTCAGCTGCTCTCTGATTTCCATTTGCCGCCAGAACACAGGTCCTGCCCTCACATCTGCACAGGCCTTAGAAGGACAGACAGCACAGAATGAGAAACATAAACACGGTATGGCATCCTTCTGTCTTATGCTGAGAAAAAAAATCCTTAGTCAACCATTATATTACGGCAGGTTTTGTTTGACAACAGTGCCCCCTAATGCCTTGAGTAAATATTACATGATCCATTAATGGTGTCATACACATAACATAATACACTGTGTATACATAAATAGGTACCTTTGCAGCCAACTGCAATCCAATTTTGTCAGCCTCTGCCTCCAGTTTCCGACTGTAGGGACGGTTAAACATAAACTGGGGACAGAGAAAATAACACAATAAAAACAACTGCACCGATTCTAATCAGCACACACTTTCCTGTCCTTTCTAAGCACTCGGTTTTTCTCCTAAGTTCCAAGAACATGCTGGTTGGTGATTGGTTTAATTGAGCACTCTGAATTGACCATAAGTATATGTGTGAGTAAGTGAGTGTGAATGATGGTGTGTCTCTATGTGTCCCTGCTATGAACTGGGAAGATGTTCAAAGTATACCCGGCTTCTGGGGCAGAGAGTGGATGAATAGTTGGATGGATGGAGGGATAGAAAAGCAGAGCAAGGAAATTCTATCTGACAATCTACATAAGGTAACTGATTGGTAGTGTTTCACACCTGTGTGAGCTTCGTCTGTGCCCACTGGCCCAGCAGTGCCATGCTGTCTCGAGGGCACACAGCCCAAATGGCTGTCAGCAGAATGAGGGACAGGAGGTCGACAACATGAGACAGACTGGCCTGTTCTGCCTGGGAGGAGAAAACAGAGGTGTGCACGAGAAGAAGAGCTTGGTGGATGGTGAGGGTAACAGGTAGAGTTTGAAAAGTAGGAGATTGAAGAGGGTTTTTTTAATTCATTAAGGTCTACAACATATTGAATTTAAGAGTTTCAAAAGACAGAAAACAGTGGAAATCAATGCCTTTTATAATAGATTTGTAACGCACGCTTTTTTCATCAAAAGAAATTGGCCTTTAATGTCCAAGTAAATTTTGGTTTGAAATGATTTTTTTAATCCAAAGCATTGATCATATTGGCCCTATTTGTACCATCATTGGTCGGTGATGTGACTTGGTTGCCATGCCATTTTTCAATGCAGTTTGCAATTTATGTGTTGGAAGAGAGACCTCTGCCCCTGGTGATGGCTGAACGCCAAACCCCGCTGATCGTAACCACACACTCCTGCCGGGTGTCTGGGTCAATGCCAATGGATTTCAAGTCACGTTCTGGGCCGTCTGTGTACATTGATGAGGTCACCCAACAGGCCGCAGGCCTTGTGCCAATTCTCCCTGTAGTCGCACCTTAGGAATGTGCTCATCTCCCATGTGGTAAACATGACCAGCCCATCCGAGTCGTCAGATTCACAGGCTGCTGAGTGACAACTGAAACGGTGCGTTCCAAAACAGTAGTATTGGAGTTTAGATTCTGTCATTTCACACCAAGGATGTTACATAGACAGCAGTTCAGCTTTTGCTCCTGTCCACAGTATGACGACCACGACTGGCTGCCGTAGAACAGGAGCGACAGGATGGAGGCTTCATAGGAAGTCCATCAAGTTCGTTTATCATTGTACTTCACTTAGACATGACTGGATCCCATCGTTAGGGCAATTACTGCAGTAATTTAATAACAAAGTAACATAATTACATCAATTGATTAGAGTTGGAAGAAAACATTGGCTGACTGCAAACATTGTCTTACTGAATGTCCCAGGATAGCATGAGCCATTTCATGTCCAAGGACAACGGTGAGTTGGTGAACATCTGTCACAGCATCCAGCATCCCCGTAAACATGAACACCTTCCCATTCTTTAAGAAAAGAGAAAAATAAAAAAAAAAGTTATTTTTTGCAGAGTATGTAACAATAGAAAGTTTCTCATTCTTTCACTGTCTTTACTTTAACCTTCATACACTCACTGGTAGGACAAAGGCGTTGGTGTTGGGACTCTGCACCACATGGACACTCCAGGCGACATCGGACACTTCAGAGATGTCCTTGTTCCTCTGTGCCAGATGCTGCACCACCCGTTCTACCACCACGTGACGGTGGTCAGTGACTGGAAGCAGAAGGTCCGCAAACTCCTCCATGTACTGAAAGCCACACAGACAGACCAAGGTGAAAAAAAAACATTTGCAGTTTTCAATTAGTACTGTAATACTGTTATTATATATAATATTCAATGAACATACAGGAATTGACTTAGCTATAACCCAATAAGAAAAAGCTACTCTGCATAAGGAAGTATATAGAAAAATCTGATTTTTAATTTTAATGGACATTTACATCAGCACATAATGATTATGATGAATAATTTATAAATTACAAATTAAATAAATGGAGACTAGACAATTAAGTTCATTGGTCAATTAATAACACACCATGTTTTTTGCCTCGTGTGCATTTTAAGATGAATAATCAGTAAGATTGTATCAAATATATAATATTTGTTTACAGGGCTAAGTAAACTAAGTACAGTAACCAAGAAACCAACAGGTCTTGGTGGTAGCTTCACTGTGCAGTTATAGTTAGCAACCAGATAGTTAGCTTTTATTTTAACTAATTTAATAATGTACATTTTGTCTGACACTGCTCCTACATGAAAATGGAAAATGTCATATATAAAAATACAAAAAAATGTGACACGTGACACTTTTTCTACTCCCTCGAACTCCCCCTCACTCACTGCCTCTGAAGTAAGAGCAGCCAGCTCCATGTAATTTTCCCTGCTGAAGACCAGGAGGCGGATCCGGCCCGTCAATGGAGACTCGTCGAGGTGGGTCAGAAGAAGGAGTGCTGCAATCACCACAGCAAAGGCCAACCCTGCTGTCAGATGCCAACGATGCAGCCAGGCCCATTCACGCACCAGGTGTCGCCGGTTGTCAGGTAGAGCAGCCCACCACTTCCTTATACTCCTGCACACAGATGTAGGCCAAAAAGTGTGTGATGTTTTTCTGTATAGCTAACACAGCTTCGTTCAGGTTAAATTAACTACTGCCCTAAAAGAAAAAATAATTGTATTTATTTAAATATTAATAAAACAGTAATAACAACCATGATAAAAGCAGAAGATATATATTTGGCAACAAATCTGAAAATATTGCAAGGCTGCTGTTCTTTAGATAAAAACAAATATCGAACTGTTGAATCCTACAATGAATTGAAGGCAGCCAAACAGACTGCACACACCTGGTTTGGTGCAATTGGAGATCTGACAACATAAGCTTACAACCAAACAAAATGTGAGTCAACAGCATAATTACACCAACCCACCCTGTGTTGTGAAGATACTGCAGACCTAAGGTGCTGCAATTGGGCAAGGAATGTTATCTGAGGTTACATGATGCCATAAAATACCAGGGTTTGACACCAACTAGTCTTAACATTATTAATACAGAAATAAACAATACCATTATTATATAAAATACCTGTTAACTGTTTACTCTATAAACCTTAGTGGTGACAATAAGAGTGAATGATTGTTGCATGTGGCCCTACGGTGGTCTGGTGAACTGATTTCCTCTGAAGACCCTAATATATTTTAACAACAAAAGACAAAAATGAATGACAGCACTGATTTCTACGGTCTCTTACCTGCCCAGTATTATAGCTATGAGCTTCTGGAGAGGTTTCAGCACTAGCCACAGAAGAGGAGGAGGCAGAGCACTGAGGGCGGCCGAGGTGTGAAAGTGTCCACACCGTGTTTGGACACGAGCAGACCGCAGAAGAAATGAGGTGGTCTTGGTACAACGCAAGGTCGACCAATTGTTATATGATAATAACGGTCTCCAGGTCGGAGTGGCTCTGACGTAGGAAGCGGAGTTCGTGGACTTCTGACAACTGAAATGAGGTGACGTCAAAAGACGTCCAACTTGTTTCCTGACCGGGTCACACCGGGCCAGGTGTGCAGGAAGAGGAGAGAGGCGGCTGCACCCTAACAAATGGACGGAGAGATAGAACATCGCGTCGTCTATGTTTGTACTTCCTGATTTACCTAGAGCAGTCAGAACAGCTGCGAACACCGCATGTCATCTGGGTAAAATGAAACTCCGCGTGATATAATGGAGACTTAAGGACATTCAACAACTTGACCACGAGCCTTTGCTGTCAATGTCACTCCAAGCACCGACCGCAGGCACCAACCTTGGACAACACCGCGCAGCAGCGACACCACAGCTTAAAGTTGTTGTGTTTGTCCCAAAAAGTTTCCTTGCACTTTTGCCATAACGAAGAGTCTAAATGAACAATCGTAACACGGCGCCGAATGTTTATTTACAGACCACGAACGTGAACTTCCTAGTTGTTTTGACATTTTGAACATTTCCGCTCTCGAAATGACTCCCCACAGAAACAAATCCGCATCACGTGTTCCGAGTCTGACCCATACCTGCTCGTCATTATTGGCTTAAAACTTATTTAACCTGATTATAAAGTAAAAATCCTCAAGAAATGACCGCCCATATTGTCCTACCTTTTAACAAAAATAAATCAGTTGTGCTGTACGTAAGGGGATGTAAGGGGATTTTTAAACTGTAACTATAACTATGAAATCTATGTAACTTTGTACATTTTCATCCTTTTTTAAGAAATAAACAATAAATGCATAGATTATTAATGAATTAATTGAGTTTCATTGGCGGGATTACAACTTTATCATTATAATTCTTTGTTATTTTTCAAAACAAGTTCACCTTTAAACAATTTCGCCTTGAAATATGCTCACAATGGCAAAACAAATGAAATGCAACATCATGCTATTTTGAATACACAGTAATAATGTGTATCAAGGCATAAAATCCAGGGTTGTTATTTCTCTCTTATCCACCCGACAGTCTTGTCTGAACCTGCTGAGACTGAAGCTAGTGTTTAGTAACTTCAGGCATTGTGTTTAAATGAAGCAGTCAGTCATCTAAGAGCTCAGGATTCTTTTTTGAAATCCCAGTGGGAAAATCACTTTGACTAGAAATGATGACCTTGAAAACACAGTCCAACATACATTGTCTTTACACATGACCATCATGAGGCTGCTTCAATATGAATGAATCAATATATATCTTAAAATGTCTACAATGGGCATATTTTTGTAATTAGGTTTGATGTATTTAGAGCAACGATATAACAGCACATGTAACGTGTAGCTTAAAAAATATTTAAGACACTATGTCATACAGAAGTCATTTGCCTATATGAGAAAATAAACATCATCACGATCATTATGACCATGTAAACAGATGTTTTCAGTTATTGGGTTTTTGTTTCAATATGATTTATTGTAGCACATTTCTAATATAAAGTAATATAAAAAATATTGAATTGTTTATGATGCTAATACAAATTACTATTACTATTATGTGAATAAGAGTACAACAGTATAGCACTATAGATAGCCATAATCACAGTAAGTAGTCGTGCTCAGACGATAACACTGAGCCCATGTGTAAGACTGGCATGTTGTTTGTCTCTGAGGTTGTGTCCATTGTGGTCTGTACTCTGTCGCTGAAAGCTTTGCCAGAACCCTGATCACAGGCTTCTCTTGCATCCTGGGGCCTGTTGTGGCTGATAAGCTGATCAAAAGCGAAGTCTTCTGTGTCCACTGGTCTGGGTGAGGTGTTCAAAGACTCTTCATGTGGCTGTTTGGCAATAAAATCTGACTGGAACAGGGCTTGAATCTGGTTTAGGAAGGGCTCTCCTTCATCGTCTGGCAGGGGTTCCAGGTATCTGGCAAGAGAAGACAGCATCTAACAGAAGAAAAAGACAGGGAAGAAAGGGACAATTATATATATTTATTGTGAATTGTACTGAAATAATCAGATGTATTACACTGGAGAGTACAAAGTGGGAGGCATTGACTAGTTCGACAGACCTTCTCCAAACAGGTTAAGGAAGAGTCTTTGCGGAAAAGTCTGTCCATCTGCACATTCCTAAACAATCAGAGCAGATGTATTTAAATTAAAAGAAATAAAAATTGTATAGTTTAAAACAAAAGATCAATTTTCATTGGTTAAAATGGCCTCTGTAGTGTCATGTGTAAACTCACCCAGGTGCCTGACAGTACTTGTGGATGATCCACTCTGCTCTCCTAAATGTTTGTTCCCAGTCTGGAATATCTTGTGATGACAACAGGTCAAATCTAAAGGGCAGTTCTGTGGAGTAAGAGACATCCACTCAACTGGATGATTTACCAACTTGACTTTGGTAATGTAGTTCAGACATGTTCAGTGTGTGTGTGTGAACTGTTCAAACATACTGCGGGGGCCTGATGGCTCCTGGATCTCCTTCACCAACAAACATGTGGTTTGGGAGTGGGGGGATGGATTTGCAGGGTCATATGGACTCACTATCATCCCAATAAAGGGCGCTCCACCTCGTGAGAAATAACTCTGTAGCATTAAGAAGACAGAGGGGAATTTAAATGATATCCATGTCATCCTGTGCAAGGCCTTTACCATGAATTGATTTTACCTGAAACTGATCCTGTGTGTTTATGTCCCGCACTGATGGGTTCGGGTGAAAGGATGGGTGCGAGTGGTACCAGCCCACTACACTGAGGCCCAGGGATGACAGCACATCACTGGCTTGTGTTTGAGACACTGGGTCCATCTCACATTGTAAACCGGTACTTACACTGTTACAAGGCTCTGCTACAGAAACCTACAAACAACGGCAGAAGGAAAAGTTTGGAAATAAATACAAATTTACAAATACCAATGAGCTCATGTAAATAAAAACTGCCTGTCCTACCTTTAATACTTTAGCCTCCTCATTGAAGGTCCCGCCCAGGAGACCAATGACTTCCCCCCGTGAGACATGGGCATGCTGTGGTTTGCAGCACATGTGATGAAGTTAAAAGAGCATTCATTCAAAATTCACAAATATACAGACAAAAGAGCAGTGGAAGCACAAAGAAAATCTCCTGCTGGGCATGGATATTTAAGAACATCATCTCACAGTGTACCAGCATACATCAACAGGAACAACCTATACACAACACACAACATACAACATACCATGTCCATGATTAGAAGAGTCTCTGCACAAACAATGACCTGGAATGGCTCCTGGGAAAAGAGAAAGAAAATTAGTTCTTCAAAAAATGGCCAAGACTGAAAAATGACTGAACATAAGATGGATAAAGTCTAATAACATCTTTTTAAATATCATTAATATAAATAGTATGTGTGGACACTGCTGCCATTATGGTCTGCATTTTGGGGAAAGTTCCTTCTTTGCTCCAATGTTTGCAGTGAGAAACTATGGATACAGTTTTGGTAGAAGTCTCAGCCACTGACCTGGACATCCTCTCCAAAGGTCCTACAGGGAATCAGCTGGAAGGGATCGGATGACCTGACCAAAGAAAGAGCTTTTTTTAACTGAACATTCATGAATGTGAGGCTGAAGGAAGACAAACTATGTTCTATTAACTTGTAACACTCACTCTCTGTATCTGGCCATCTTCAGAGGTCTAGGTTGCCTTTTCATTTCCTCTCTCCTCAGAGCAAGTTCCTCTGCACTGAGATGCTAATTGAAACACCAACAACAATACAGGATCAGAAAATACACAAAAAAACCAAAAAGAGCAGTGTGAGAGTAGGTGAGTGTATAAAATTGTGTACATTGACATTCTAAAGAGCAACGCAACTTCCATGCAATAGGAGCCTTAAACTTTGTGTTTGTATTTAAGAGTTTTTTGGGAATTTGTTTAAAAGAAAAACAGAAAGACAAACAGAGAGTCTGTTTGACAAACCTCAAACGTCTGTCCCTCCAAGTCCTTGGCATCACACCAATTCCCCCACATGTCTCTTACACGGCGTTTCCTGGTCCGCTACAATCAAACAGCAGTTAGAAAAAAGTTCAGAAATCCTACAGTGCAGAGGACTGTTCAGAACAGAAGGAGAGTATTCACCATGCTCTGGAGTCTCTGGGCGAGCTGATAAGCTTCGAGAACATCTTTGCCTTCCTTATGTTTGGACCGGTCCAACACCTTTGGCCGATTGTAAACTGCCTGCTCTGTAAGAAAAGTGTGAGAATTTTGACAACTGTTCAATTACTTAAATTATAAAATAACAAACATAACATAATTGGTTACTGTGATAAGAGGTGACAGGTTACCACAGCCAAAGTTGATGGCTCCTATAAGCTCCAGGTAGGTGTGAATTCTACCAATACAGTTGACATCTCCACAGTTCTTCAGGCCTGGGCGAACACACGTCTTGTTCAGATACTTGGGCTTGATCTTCATCCTTATTGAAAAAGGGCATTAACACCTGCTTCCTCTGTACAAATGTTGATGAATTTAAAAAATAAATAAATAAATAAAGTTTGATACCATTGATCCAAGATGTAGTTCCTGATCTTCAAATATCTCTCTGGGGTTTTGGAAGGCCGTCCCTCAAAAAACTCTGGGATAGCTTGTTTCTCTTCTTCAGTGATGGTCCCCTTGTCCAACTCTATTTCCTGTTCAGGTATTGTTAAATCCTCCTCCTCATCATCATCATCTTCTTCTTCCTCCTTGTCTCCATCTTCTTCTTCCTCATCTTCATTCTTCCTCATGTCCTGCAGATCTTCTCCTGAGCTCTGAATCTGCTCAACTTTATCATCAAAAGAAAAATAATACATTTAAAATAATTACAGTTATCAAACAAAATAAAATATTAAGTTCTTGTAGCCAGTACCTGGTTTATTGCTGCCAGACTGTTCCAGCTGGCCAGTCGCTGCTAGGTTCTCAGAGTTGGAGCTCTGCGGAATGGACTTGTCACGTGTCAAATTTCCTTTTAGAGTATTTCCTAAGAGCAACATTCCCGTCTCTTTTTGCTCAGTCTTAATACGTTCCTCTGTTGCAGGTAAAGATAATTCAGGTTGAGGACTTTGTGTCGGTGAGATGCTGCTGCTGTGTTCGTCTCTTATCTCTTGCTCAGGATGACCTGTCTCATCATGGTCTTCTGTGCGATGGTTTGTTTGAAGCCCAGTTTGTTTTTGTTGCTCCAGCTGTATTTTGACCTCAGTCTCCAAATGATTGTGGACGTCTTCTTCATCGTCACTTTGGTCATCCGTGATATCCACATCTTCATCTTCACCATCAGAAAGCTTCTCTATCTTGACTGTGTTATTGGCAGAAGTTGATAGATGACTGGATGCTGACTCTGGTGGTTGCAATGCAGGTCCAGCAGATGAAGCTGTAGATCCTGCTCCTAATGTGTTCTAAAGAAATGCCAGAGAAATAAAACCAAAAAAAGAAAAGAAAAGAAAACTTGACAAGGATATAACTGAAAAAGTGTGTTAGTGGTTGTAGTACACAGCATAATGTCAGTGTAGTTTCATGTATATTAAAATTTAAAAAATGTTGAGTATATACTGTATGTATATGTAAATGTACAAGGGCAAAATAAAGCTACTTTTTAAAATCTAAATTAGTGAGTGAATGACAATAGGTTATAAAAGCTGAGACTTGTGTTGCTTTAATATTCACACAGTAGCAGTACTGCAGAAATAACATACATGTAGTTCTCACCTTATGTTTGAAATACTGTCTGGCGTAACTTTTGACCTGAAGAACAGAACGACTCTCCACCAGTCTTGCAATCTTTGTCCACCTTCGACCAAAGCGAGCCTTCATGAATTGTAATTGTAATATAAAGAGAAACAAAAATCTTGTGCGTAAATGATTGTATGGGAGTGTACAGACACATTTTGAATTTTACATAACACATACAGGCCATAAATGTTAGAGGATCTTACCAGTCCTTCTTCAAACCGATCTTTCTCCTGTTTGGTCCAATGAGATGAGGATCCTGAGGCTGAAGGTTTGGTTGGAGAACTGTGCAACCAATGGAAAGTCATTACTGTTCATTGCTGCGTTGCTGTGAATTCTAAGCAAAAAACAAACTTACATTTTCACTTTTGGCTTGCTGCTAGCATCACTGTCCCAGAGGTGCCTTGGAATATCTTTGCCCGTCAGATAGTATCTATTAATACAGTTCAGGTCTAACAGAATTGGAGTTTTATTTTATTTTATTTGTGAAATGTTCACATATTATTGCAGCTGTAATAGTTCAATGTTAATGTTCCACAAGAGTTAACAAATGAAAACAATAGAAAATCTGTGTAGTTGAGTGAAAGGATACTGCTCCTCCAGCAGCATCCTCTGTATGGCCTCTCTGTTCTCTGGGCTGATTGAGCTGTCCAGCTCCCATGGCTGCACGGCACAAGGATGGAAAGACACACAGCCAGTGAAACACAGGTTTAGTGGACGTTGATGTGACAAGCTCGAACTGGATACAACTTTATTTACCAAGCGGGTGTCCACATTTTGAAGCTACTTTTTAATAGACCTAAATCTCCTTTTACAGGCGGATCTGTCAACCACAGAGTGCGGAGACAGCAGAAGTGACGACCACAGACACAGTGACAGAGGTAACTGACTGAGTAGTGTAACTTCATACCAGTATTCCTGCGCTGCTTGTCCAGGCTGACTGCACGAACTGCTCCTGAACTAGTCCTGCTGAGTCAAAAACACTGCAACAGAGGTGGATGCAGCTGTGAAAGCATCACAACAGAGAAAACACGCACAGAAAAGACACAGGAACACAGCTGTCTATTCGTTTGGAGCGTCAATATACGTTGTTCTACCGCGTCGGACTTATTACCTTAAACCACTTCCAATCTCGTCGCCCTCGATGTCTATATCCACCTCATCCTCCATGTTGTAGGACGGACGTAAACAAAAAAGAGGAAGTGAGACAAGATAGAGTTCTCGGCGTGGAGCGTTGTTTCAGTTTTTCACAGCGACATCTAGTGAGACTGCGCGGTAATGTTCTCTCCTGCATTTTCTTTTCATTTACATGCTTTTAAATGACATGATGTAAAATTGTGTTTTAATAGTCCAGGGTAATAACAAACAAACAAATATGTAACTGACATAAAAACAAATATGAGCTGACATAAGCTGCTGACATTGATGTCAAAAATGGTAACAAGACTCAAACTCATGACATTAATATTTTGTCCAAATTTCAGAGATTTTTATCAGCTTATACAGCTGTAAATCATCAATGCAAAATCCTAGAAAAGATTAAGAGACAGAAAAGATTAAAGACAACAAAAGGTTTATTAAATTCACAGTTTCTAATGGCACTACAATTTTTTTTTCTTTTTTTGCAGTAACTCACTCCTGCTTGAAAAAAATACTGTGCAGTTCTTTAGAGTACCCACAGAGTAAAAGGGAAAGAAAATGAAAGATATAACACTTGACATACAAGGTAGAAAATAACAAAGAAAGACACCAGGAGTCATACAAAGTGCACATTGAGCTCTGAGAATTTCTTTCCTACATACTGTGTTATGAGGATAAGTAGATTCATTGAAGTAGTCTTTCTCATAACACAGTCACACACTCTGATCAACAACAGAAACGTCTCACATGCATACAGGTTGAATCACACAACAACATAAGATAGTACACTTTCAAAAACAGCCCCATGAATAGATCACTTTGTGTTACACAATCAATCACATCATCAGTGTTCCACATTATACCCATCCTCGTTGTGTTCCCTTTACTTATTTAACATTTAGTTCTTTTCACAGACAACACTCCTCATTTAAAGTGAGCCACACGCCAAGAAAGATGAACAGTGACTTGTCGGTCATACAATTTGAATAACAGTTAAAGACAGTTCATCAGAGGTGTAGAAACATGACCAGTACCCATGTTTTAAATCCCAATAGAAACGTGATAAAGTGGTTAATAAAAGCAAGGGTAAAATAAAATCTTCACAGTTGTAGAGAATGTCGTGCAATGGGTTCAGAGGTCACCCTGAAGGACGAGGACTCGTGGAGAGAAAGGAGTGAGATGTAACAACTGGTCAGGAAAGAAAACAAAAGTAAGGCCTACATCAGGAAAAGAAGGAAAAGTTTTTTGTCTCTGCCAAACTGTGCAACGGTCCAACCACCCAGAGCCAATCAGAGACTTCATACAAAGAGAAACAGCTAGTTTAAATTTTATTATAAAAAAAAAAAAACTGTGAATTACACATCAATAATTTTAATGACAGCATGAATGTTACATTTGGGCAATTCACAAAATCATGAACATAATGAATGTTAAAAATGATCAGACAGACGATGAAACAGACGAGACAAAGACTCTGATTAGTCCCTTCCCCATGATCAAACATAAAAGCAGCAGCCTGAAGATTCTAGTCTTCCTGACCAATATTGACTCACATCTTTGTCTTGGTAGATATATGTCATGTATTGTTATAAGGGCGTGCAAGAGAAACTGAACACTGTTATGGATGTCGCAAAAGGCCAGGCTGAGGAAACAGCAGTAAAAGCTGTTGAATGAATTAAAAAAGAAAAAAAAGTTATGTGGTCATAATCTAATACGACTCAGTGTCAGTCAGAGCATGTAATGTATTATATGTGGGGAAAACTGCTGCGACTCTGACTGATTAGGAGACTGGCAACCCAGTACCTGCTTTAGAACCATCTGTAGTCATTTAAATAAATAAATAGATAAATAAAACTGGTCTGTCAGACGAGGCTGCAAGGTCCCAGTATATGACAGTGTACATGTTAAAGACAAGTGTAAACATTCAGCCCTCCTACCCAGTGTCCTCCATCAGGAGGAATAAAGAGAAAAGGTCCTACATCAGCTGTAAGGATAATTCTAATGAAGCCCATTAGTAATGAGAGGAGGTCTTAGTTGGAAGAGAGAAAAAAAAAACGTAAAACGGAAGGGGAAAAAAAAGGCTCAAATTTGCAATGCGCACTCTGAACATTAGCATCCTCACTGTCACAATACCTGCTGTTGAAAAGAATACTTTTTTTTTTGTTAAGTGATGCATGAGCAATCGTTTCAGGCCCGGCCCAAATGGATTATCATTACTGTTTGTTACATTGGAATTGGTAAAACATGTGGAATCTGCTGCTGCTTTACTGTTTGTATTAAGATATTGAACAGACACTGTGGTGAAAGAACTACAACATTCTGACAGATTAACCACAATAAGTAAATTCATTCATTTTCTTCATGTAGCTCTGATGGTCGGTCGACGGCAGACTGACGAGAGACAGAAAGAGTTTAACACTGGTCCCACACCTAGATGCAACGCCGAGATAGAATCAATAAGATAAGAACGACAGCGGAGAAAAGAACTTAGTCGTTAGTCGTGCACAAGAATTCTCCCAGACACACATTTCATCCTGAAAATGGTACTTAAGTGTAGAGAAAGGAAAAATAGAGCTGTGGTCAATGTGCTTCCCACTAGAGGGGCTAAAAGAACACGTTAAACACATCATTCGCTCCACAGAGTCTTTTTACCCACACTAACAAGTGAATGTCAGGCATTTGGCCTAAAAAAGGTTTTGAACAGATATAAAGGCACATAACCGTAAACAGGTCTTTGACAGGAGAGGACGGGGGAGGGAGGAGGGATGATGAGCAGCTGCTTCTATAATCTTAGGTGTTCAGAGGAAATTTGGTCTGTGGGCTTCAGATCCTGACAAGTGTGCTGGTCTGCCGTACAGTCAGACAGTGTATTCGTTTGTAAGTGGGTAGAAGGTTGTGTAGGTGTGAAGTATATTTTAAACTTGTCCACTGACAGCCGTCACACCGATGGTCCCAACACTGATCTCCTTGTTCCCCTTGATCAGCTGATGCAGGGTGGGCAGAGAAGGGATGTTCCCCCCTGGCATGTTTGGGAAAGTCAGCTCTGTCTGCCGTGACTTCCTCCTCTTGGTGGAGCGTTTCTCCTGGCGTGACACTAGGGGGGGCTGCTGGAGGCTGCTGCTGCTCAGGCAGTGGCTGTTGCACAGGCCAGCCATTGGAAACGTAGGAGAGGGAGGGGGGATGGAGTTTGTGTAGGACTCCTCGGAGTGGGTGGATGAGCTGCAGCTGCTCGGCTCAGAGGGGAGCTCTTTTGAGGCGCAAGGGGGTAATGGCAACAGCTCCCTGGTGTAGGAAGGGGGAGGCATTGGTAGGGGAGGGGGAGGAAGAGGAGGAGGAGGAGGGGCCGGGAGGCAGGGGTGGAAGCCATTACATTTAGGGCCTCCATTTATCTGAGGCAAATCTGAGGGATTATATGCCACGACAGCCTCAACCTTGTCCAATGACTTTGTCTTGCCGCGTTTTTTCTGGAGAAAGAAAACAGAAAAGAGGGAAGATGAAACTTTGTGCAGGGGTCACATCGCACATTAAACACACACTCTTATTAGTGACCTCTGCACTGTGACAGAAAGGTCACACAAATGGGTCAAAGTGTGGTAGGAAAACTTGATGGGAGAGGAGTCAACTAACTATGGCCACATCGACATGAATCCATTTGTTGTTGAGATCATGCATCAGACTCCAAGCACTCCTACATCATCACCATCATCATTATCATCATTAAGAGCCCACAAAGAGGGAACGGTAATCTGTCAATAGTTATGTTTTCTTTAATCCAGACTTTGAAGGTGAGGACACCTTCACCACTGATCACTTCATGACAGAGAATAAACAATGGCCCAAGTGTTGTTATTTTATCTACATTCATGTAAATACTGAGTGGATCAGCAGAGTGACTGGAAGCAAAAAAAAAAATAGAGGAACTCACATTCAAAAAGTAAATGCTCCTTTAGTAGGAAATGTATGACACGACATTTGATTCATATTGCCTGAACTGTATATATAGTAAACTTAAAGTAGCTTTAAGGGTCGAGTTCTGTGATTATAATAATAATTAAAATAATAATTAATATTATTTTTATTGTATGTGTCATCACAGAGGTGTGAAACAGATGAGGTTTGCGGAGCACGTGGAGTAGTTGTAAGTTTCCAGCACTTTGATGTACACACCAACAGTAGAAACACAACACAGAACTTTCAAGTATGGCAGCCATCACAGCCAACAGCAGCAGTCAGAACAAACACTGTACCTTTTTCTCTGGAGAAAACCTTAGAGGTTCTACAATGTACAAGTCATCTGGACCTACTGAGGAGGGGAGAGAGGGGCCAGGTTAATGATGGAATGGTAAACAGGAATACATACATGTCATAAGCATGAAGGGACCTTGCAAGTAGCGTCGCTTTAAAATTTTAATTACACATGTATCTTTTTCACTGATTTAAGTGTAAATCACAGAAAACAATGTGTTACTTATTTCTACTTGCAAACGTCAAGCGAGGCATTGTGTCTATTATTACTCTCCTGAGGCCTGCATGTGAGCACAAGCTGGCAATGGCAGCTTCAAGAGCAAACACACACACATTTGGCACACACACACACACACTAGTTGAACAAGGGGCAGCAGAGGGAGTTTGAGGTTTCATGTTTATTTTTCCGGGAGGCAGGGGTGGAAGCCATTACATTTAGGGCCTCCATTTATCTGAGGCAAATCTGAGGGATTATATGCCACGACAGCCTCAACCTTGTCCAATGACTTTGTCTTGCCGCGTTTTTTCTGGAGAAAGAAAACAGAAAAGAGGGAAGATGAAACTTTGTGCAGGGGTCACATCGCACATTAAACACACACTCTTATTAGTGACCTCTGCACTGTGACAGAAAGGTCACACAAATGGGTCAAAGTGTGGTAGGAAAACTTGATGGGAGAGGAGTCAACTAACTATGGCCACATCGACATGAATCCATTTGTTGTTGAGATCATGCATCAGACTCCAAGCACTCCTACATCATCACCATCATCATTATCATCATTAAGAGCCCACAAAGAGGGAACGGTAATCTGTCAATAGTTATGTTTTCTTTAATCCAGACTTTGAAGGTGAGGACACCTTCACCACTGATCACTTCATGACAGAGAATAAACAATGGCCCAAGTGTTGTTATTTTATCTACATTCATGTAAATACTGAGTGGATCAGCAGAGTGACTGGAAGCAAAAAAAAAAATAGAGGAACTCACATTCAAAAAGTAAATGCTCCTTTAGTAGGAAATGTATGACACGACATTTGATTCATATTGCCTGAACTGTATATATAGTAAACTTAAAGTAGCTTTAAGGGTCGAGTTCTGTGATTATAATAATAATTAAAATAATAATTAATATTATTTTTATTGTATGTGTCATCACAGAGGTGTGAAACAGATGAGGTTTGCGGAGCACGTGGAGTAGTTGTAAGTTTCCAGCACTTTGATGTACACACCAACAGTAGAAACACAACACAGAACTTTCAAGTATGGCAGCCATCACAGCCAACAGCAGCAGTCAGAACAAACACTGTACCTTTTTCTCTGGAGAAAACCTTAGAGGTTCTACAATGTACAAGTCATCTGGACCTACTGAGGAGGGGAGAGAGGGGCCAGGTTAATGATGGAATGGTAAACAGGAATACATACATGTCATAAGCATGAAGGGACCTTGCAAGTAGCGTCGCTTTAAAATTTTAATTACACATGTATCTTTTTCACTGATTTAAGTGTAAATCACAGAAAACAATGTGTTACTTATTTCTACTTGCAAACGTCAAGCGAGGCATTGTGTCTATTATTACTCTCCTGAGGCCTGCATGTGAGCACAAGCTGGCAATGGCAGCTTCAAGAGCAAACACACACACATTTGGCACACACACACACACACTAGTTGAACAAGGGGCAGCAGAGGGAGTTTGAGGTTTCATGTTTATTTTTTGCTTGCATTAGTCATTGGCAGTAGCGCTTTAGACGGCGTGAACGGGGGTGTCAGCCATTTAGCATGAAAGGTAATGGTAGAGATCAAGGCAGAAATAGACAGTTTTGGAAAAACAAACATGAATGCACAGTGATGTGTTCAGGTGTAAGAGTTTCAGGGGTTCTAATTCAGCGGGAACGAAGAAGACTAGAGTAAGACTGATAGAATGGCCTCTGGGAAAGGAAGACTGTGGTGTCAGTTGTCTTTGTGATAATAATAACAAGGACACAGGGAGAAACAAAAGGAAAAGACAAACAGAGAAGAAAGTTCATTTTTATAAAAGGTGGGGTGGGTTTTTGTTTTTTTACCTTCGCTAGAGGTCAAGTGGAACGACTTGGAACGAACCAGTGGACAGGTGACCCTACGCTTCAGGCTCATGTCATCATAGGAGGAGAAGCATCTGATAAAAAAAAAAAAAAAAAAACCCCAATGGGAATCACATTAGTGAATGTGGGAATTTTTGCCACTACCAAAGGGTGGTTAATAGTTCCCCAAAGATTGTGGCAGGACCAGAGTGACAGCATTAAATAAAATGATGTCCAATGGTATGTGGAACATTTGTGAGCGACACACCTTTTGGGACTTGGATAGTGATTGCTTTTGGGAAGAGCAGCCACAGAGGTGTTAGTGTTTGGGGAGGAGCTGCAGCAGCACTGCAGACACAGCAGGAGGCCCAGACACAGGCAAAGAACCAGAGACACCACCAGGTAGCTCTGACGATCAGATACCTGCAGGAAGGAAACAGTCAAAAACAAGTTTCTATTATACACTCATACTAATGTGTATATAGTCTTATCAGAATATTTAGTACTATATGTAAATTGTATTATCTGTATAAAGGTTAGAATTAACATGACATGTTACCTCTCTCTGCAACTGACTGACTGCAGCAGTCAGATTGATCATCAGTTTCGTGACATTCTCTAGTTGGACCTGGAGGAGCTGGATGGACTCTGTCTGTTTCTGGTCCTGAGGAGATCATATGAAAACAGGGATTTAGTTCCTATAAATACTTTTGATTTATCATGTGTGTTTTCTGACCATGGGTCAAACCTGTTACCAACTAACCTGCTCCTCGGCAATGCGGGAGGTGTTCTGTAGTTTGATGATGGTTTTGTTAAAAGCTTTCTGCATCTCTTCCATCTGTTTACGGTACCTGAGCAGGAAAAACATGTAAGGAACCTGTCCAGCGTCTCCTCAAAACATTCCAAATCCTATTATTTTTTTATCACAAATTTTCAACACATTTTAAAACATATAAAAGGGGACATATGCTAATGTTATGTAAATGTATCCTTTTCTTTAATTGTAATAAGCTACTGCATGCTCTGCCCATCTCTTCTGTGAGGTAAGACCCACTGACAGCTTTGTGCAACCATAGCAACATTTAAGCAATGAGAGAAAAATGGCATTCATGCCCACTAACTGTGACAAAAAATGAACTAAATCATTTTGCAGTTGTTGACACATTTGCTACGTCAACATTACTGTTTTGTTAACATGTACTACTGAAAGTTGTACAGCTTCCCTTTGTGACAAAGAAAGTGAAATCAGTGGCTGGTTTCATGACAAACAGACAGATTCTGTCTATTGAATATTGACTTAGTTTTCAGAACTAGCATTTTTAAGTAGACGGACACTCCACAAATGTAAGTATATGTACCAAAACTATGATATGGTTTTACATTATATGTCCCCTTTAAAACTTAGCACAAGACACACAAAATGTATAATTTGCAAACACAAATGAATATGAATAGTTACACGATTTCTGCTTTGCTTAAGAACCTGAAAAATAACTCTAAAACACTATTCAATCTTGACTATGTTCATTTCCAGGATGGTTTTACCTCTGGCTGAGCTCCTCTAGGTATCTGCTGGAGAGACTCATGTTCATCTCCAGAGCCTTGATGCGGTTGTTGAGCCTCATGAACACACTCTCCTTTTGGCTGGATCCATGCACGGCACCTCCGTTCAAGAACACACCATTGCTGTTCACCGTTCCGCCGTTATATTCTGCCCCATTCTGCAGCTCTGCATAGAAGTCGGTAGCAGCTCGCTGGGCGATGCCATTCCCATTTGTGTTCAGAAGGTCCTCATCTGCTGTGTCATCAACTCGATGAGGCTGCTCCACCGCCTTAGTGACAGAGTGCCCCAGCTCCCCCTGAGACTGAGACACCTGAACGGTTTGTCTCTGGGAGTCTCCACCATCACCTGAATTTATTGTGTCTGTTTTGGTATCTGTCAGTGGTGGTGGTAGTTCAGTGGGAGGAGGGATGAAGTCCTCAGGCCTTGACGCTGTCGGAAGAGGCTGAAATGGCTGCTCCTTGACAGGAGGAACTACAACACCAGGCGTGGTCGTCTCAGAAGGCATAAGTTGTGGAGGAGAACTAAAAGTTAGGGTAGGGGAGGCACTGCTGGCCTGTTGTGTCTCTGGGATTGAGACTATTTGAAGAGGTGGAGTTAGAACTGGGTCTAATGCTGCGTCTTTGATGGGAGGTAGCAGCTTCTCCTCGTGTGTTGGCGTCGGTCGCATCACAGAGCCTTGGATGTTTGAGAAACTGTGAGGAAGGATGGTGGAGGACCTACTTGGCTCTAGGTGGATGCTGAACTCTGGTGTGTGTGTGTCAGGTGTGTGAGTATGGAGATGTGTGTCAGTGGTGTGCCCCTCACCCAAAGACATGTCAGGCTCCAGGATTTTTTCTGTGAGGGGGATAAACTCTTGTGGAATTGTGGAGACAGGGCCAGGGATTTGTGGTGGTGTGTCTGTGAGGGCAGAGTTTCCTGATTGGGAGTTTGTCTGTGTTTGAGAGCTCAGCCGTTTTCGCCTGAGGCTGCGGAGTCTCTCCTTCGACAGCCGAGCAGAGCACCAGCGATGGAGCAACTCCGGTAGGGTCACCATGCAGGACAAGGACAGGGAGGAGAAAGAAGAGAAAGGACAGTATTTCTGGCTTTCCCACTGGTTCTTGTCTGCCTCCCTCCTTGTCTCCTGCTCTTTCTTTTCTTCCTCTTCTTCCTCCCCATCCTCCTCCAACAGAGTGACAGTAGACTGCCTTGGCTCTTCATCTTCCTCCTCTTCCACCAGTGTGACAATTTGTCTTTCCTCGTGTGAGACAGAAGAGGAAGGAGGAGGTTGTGTGGAAGAGTCACTGGAGACATTGGACTTCTGAGTGGGACTTTCTTGATTTGAAGGATCCAGACTACAGGGAATACATGATCAATGTTATGCACAGACAGAGAAGCCTGAATCAACATACAGTCGTACTTTGACTGTTCTTACTCTGCAGAGTTTCGAGGTGTTTCCGTTTCCGTAGCTTTGACCTCGGAGTTCCCCTTTGTTTCCTTTACATCTTCTACATCGGTGGTTGTGTTACCTGGCATTTGGACAAAAACAACAATAAACTTAGAGGTCTGTGATAACAGTATACTGCTGAATACACAGACTTCAGCTGATTCCCATGTGGCCAAAGAAAACACATGAAAACAAAGAGTCTTTTCTTACAGTTAACCAGTTCAATCAAGTTACAGTTAGGTTGTTTTAACTCTCACGACACCTCCCTTACTCTGTGGGTGTAAATACATTTTTTTTTTCAAATCTGTACCTGTTGAGACTGAGAGCCAGTCATAAAACAGCCTCGCCTTTAAATTAGTGGGTTCCTTTCCCATTACCACTATAGGAGGGTTTCCAACTAATGAGTCAAGCTTGATGTTAGCAACATGTAAATACACAATCAACATGTGACACTAACAAAGTACTCCAAAAGCACTATGATGATCTCAACCAAATTTGGGATCACTGCTCAGATGTGTCACAATGTCACAACAGAAACTTTGCAGACAGAAATGAAGAAGCAAAAGAAACTCGGCCAATGATTTATGGTTATCCAACTATATCGTTTCGCCTGGGGTGAAAAAGTAATTGCTGTTTCTTTTTAATCAAAATTATTTTTCTTATTTTAAAGAGAATTCACAGCAATGTATGCACTGGGCTTCATCAGTGTTCAGAACCGTCTTCTGTCTTTAATTCAGTGTGAGCTAAGTAAAGAGTTGCTTTTCTGATAACCCTGTGAGGTAAACAGGGTAAGTGACACAGACTTGGCATCGCTGTCCTGATTAACTCATTTAAGTTTTATGTCAGGACGTTTAACACTGAGTGTTGCTACAGACCTGCAGCCAATAGCTACAAAAACATCTGGGAGGCTCAGTAAATCAGCCCATGTATACACTCACAGTTTACACAGAGAAACACAGTGACCCAGTTTTAGAAGCAGTTAATGTATGCAATATGTGGCAGAATGAGGAGGCGAGTGGTGGGACACAGTGTGTGTGTGTGTGTGTGTGTGTGAGGAGGAGTGGGGGGAGCTTAGGGAAGTAGTCTGAGCAGAGCTAAGAGAAAAAGCAAATGTCTTAAGTTTCAACATATGTGGAACATTTGACTAAAATTATTCATTATCTTACTTAAGAAATATAAAAACCTTGAATTGAGATGAAATAAAGATTCACATAACTGCTATTATATTGTTGAGGACAAGAGCTTCACTAAAGTTTCTCTTAATGCATTCCAACAGTCACTGTCAAGATGCTCAGTGATGATTAGATTTCAGCAACGCTATGAATCAAAATTGTATACTTTTGAAAATGTTCCATATTAACAATTCCATCATTTGGATTAGTCACAAAAAAGACACATGTTACACTGTGTTACACACATGCATCTACCCGCTGTTATTTATCATTCATTCAGGCAATATAGAGTAAAAAAAAAAATGTATTTAAGGCATTATGATCGATCCCAATTAATGAAAATGAATCATTTACTTTCTATTTCAAAAAAACATGATTAATTGTGAACAATCAACAGCTTAACAGCAGTTTAATATCAGACTTCCAGAAACTTAGGTCTTATCAGACATTAATGGTCAATTTGCATCTTAATAAACCACAGCCTGGGATGAGGATATAAATCCTATGCAGGGAAATCCATACCGGTTAACAACACAGTGGAGACAAATTATTATGTTATGATGTCTCAATTTAACAGTGAAGCCCTGCACACCACAGGCACTTTATCTCAAAATGCAGATGTAAACTTTAAATCATAAATAAAAACATGTTGTCAAGAAACATGTTTATCATAGTGACTGTGTGTTACCAAAACAAGAATCATTACATCACGTTTTTATGGAAAATATCAGTTAACTAAAAGCCAGGCTGTCTACAGCAGCTGCAGAAGAATACTTATTAAGTCAATGTTGTGTCACGGAAGATGTCCATTAGCTACAGTTTACTGAACAGATGTTTCATACTGTAGCTTTGATGTTAATACTGGCAAAAAAGGGTTAAACACCACTTGAGATAAATTAGAGGTATTGGCTTAAAATATAGAAAATTATATCGAACACATTTATCAAAAAAAAAAAAAAGTCCCACTGATGGTCTGCCCTCCAAGAACCCCTGTTACAGTCTCTAGTTAAGACAAAAAAGCACCTGTCCTTGGTTTGAGTTCTGTTAATCTGTTTATACAATGACTGACTGATCCACTGATGACTGGATTTTGGCAAGCACTCTGTTATTTGGTCCACATGTGGCATTTAAGAAAAGCCCCGCAAATACTGAAAATACTGATCTAACTCTGACCTGTGAAGTAGCATATAATCAATAAAAATGTTCTTTACTCAGTCCCTGAAATGTTTTTGTAAACCAACTCGGCCTGTTGTTAATACCTTTCCAAAATAAATGATACTGTACAGATAAACCAGGTATAAGTTACTGGTGACAAGGTGTGGCCACACACGAACAAAAAAGAATAATGAAGAAAACAAGTCGAGGCTACGACACAGAAAAACTGAAAGAAGTTGTCTTAGCTTAGAGACATAAAAATAAAATAAAATGTTTAAAAAAAAAAGTAAAACAGATTATAGATATATACAATATATTTATATAAAACATGACAAAAATGTATGTGTTTTATGTTATAACATACATTTACAAGTTTGTGAGCTTCAATGATTTATGCAGAAAATGTGCAAAGATATAACAGGACAAAACCTGCACTGAAGTAAGACGGAAAAAAAGAAAAATATCTGGCACAATCCTAGTGCACTTGCAATCAATACCTAGTGTGGACTTGATGATTTTCAAGAAAACATGACAGAATAGAAGGCGAGGCTGCACTAGACAAGATCACTACAACCAGACACCACTGGCCAAAGTGCAGCCATAAATCTTCACAGGCTCCATTGAAGAATGCCAAATGCCACTGGAATTACTGGTTTTCTGAGTAGACAATGGTCAAAGACCAGCTGTGTAACTTCCCTCTTGATTTAACACTGTTTATTAGTATATGTTTGAGTTTTATTCAGAAGTATAAATTGTAACTTTATATCTATGAAGATTCTCAGTCATCCAGGTCATGGTCAAGTTTAAAAAGTTCTGTTAGGCAACTGGACGTGGATTTTTATCTTCTTCTTTTAGAAGATTCACGTCCAGTTGCCTAACAGAACTTTTTAAACTTGTAACTTTATAGTTCAAAGTACGGTTATTCTTATACTAAGATCTTTTTACAGACAAAGACAAACCATTATGAGTTAACATTTTTACAGATGTGAGGTACAGAAGTTGAAATATTGAAAAGAAGTACCTCCTGTGTCTGCTCCCCCCTCCAGCTCTGCCTTGCCCCCCAGCACGTTAGCAGCGATGTTGTTTACCATGTTTATAATAGCATCTAGGGGAAAATAACAGAGACAGAGAGTTCAATGAAGGTTACAGTTTCTTGGCATTGAATTAGACTGTAACTCTTTCAGGGCTTTGAATGTTCATCCTCTCTCAATTGACTTGAAAAGTGTGACATGTTGGTGTTGAGTGAGAGTATCGTGTCCTGACTTGACAATGACAGTTGCCAAGTTGTTGGTAACTGTCATTAATTGTTAGTTTAGGTTTGATGTTGAAAACATCCTTTTTAGAACTGTGTCCTTACCAAGATCAATGTATGACTTACTGTATGTCTTAATAATTCTTCAATATTGTTGTATTTTTGCTTTGTATTGTCTTTGTAATGAAGTTTGCAAAATGTTTTTTGCATAAACATTTACTTACTAGTTGCTGAGCCTAGAAGGTTTTTGGTGGCCTTGTCCTCTAAAGGTTGGTAACCGGGAGGATAGTCTGAAGAAAAACACAAAATCATACATATACATTTTTTCAATGTCACCTGTTACTGGTTTGAAAGTTATTGCCTTTGATTTAATCAGTAGATTGACCTTCCTGAACTACGAAAAGTCAGAAAGTGATGACTTTATTTTAGCTTTAGCTAGATTGGAAGCTGTTATAGAAAACAGGTTAAGTTGACATGTCTGCAACTTACCATAGTCTTCATCCAAGTACTCCAGTCTCTCTGAAGGGTACTGAGAATCTGCTATTTCCTCATACTCCTCCACCATACTAGTGCCAAACACCCTGCACAACGGAAACAATTACAACATAAAATATTATATTTTGTTCTATAGGCAAACAATAACAAGGGAAGCAGAACTGCACTGTTTTCTCATATGCAAGATATTGATAAATATTAATAAATTGTGTTTTGTTTTTTTCACTTCTTGTACTGACTCATGAATTGAAAAATGAGAGGTACTTTATCAGGGTTATGATCTTACACATCTTATGTAAGGCATCAAAACTAGAGTTATATTGAACCCAATCATTTGTTCTTTTTGGGTTAAAACTAGAGTAAACCCAATCATTTGTTCTTTTTGGGTTAGCATTATATTTTTTGTGTTAACTAATTAAAACAACATAAGTTCAAATTCTTCATGTCTAACCTGATCAGACTCAGTGGGCAGAAGTGCTCAGATCCAAAGTGTGAGAGAAGTTCGACCTGCAAATAAAGCAGACCATCTCAAACTATACAGTATACAATATACATGTATCAGTCACCACTCCCTTCATTCTATAGGACACGCAAAGAAGAACTACAATTATACATTAGTGTGTTGATCTTTTTAAACATGCATTAAAGGTCACGTGCCAAAGTTCACACATTAAAAAACAGGGCCAGTCACGTAGTTCAAAATGCAGACACAGGGAGAAAAGTGCTAACCTTTATGTACTTGATGAACATCTGATGCGAGAAGAAGGCAGAAGAACAGGAGAGCAATAAAACAAGAAAACAAATCAGTGAGGACTGATTCAAGCTACAAGCAAGTCAGCATCTGATCACAGTTGGACTCTACTGGAATCAAGGACAGCCACATTTTCTTTAAAAAAAAAACAAACATTGTTTACTAGGTTCAAGCAAGACACTACTGATTCTACAGAAGAGGCTTATGCAGCACAGGTGGACAGACAAAGACAGGTGGACGAACAAAGACAGACATTAGAAGACTAGACAGTAGTTCAAAGGCACAGGTCTGAGTGAGAAACAGCAGAGATTACCATCAAACCGTCACTTTATCTGATACAATTCATAAGATTTAATAACGTCTGATCAGACGTCTGATCATCTCCAACATATGAAGTGTATAAAGGTCACACATAAGAAAAAGAAGTCACATGATTCTTAACCTAAAAAATAAATAAATAATAATAGCAGTATTTTGTAGTGTAGTAAATTTTCACTTCAAAACAATAACATTTTAATTATTTTACACTCTGTTTAATGCTTCAATAATATCTGACTGCAAAGAACTATAAACAACACAAGTGTTTCAGTTACACAGAAAGCACACGTCCAATAAAATGTTAAAGTCAATCTGCAAAAATCACACATGGGCTAAAATGTGGACTAAAATCAACGGTGCAGGGACCAGTTCCCAATCAAAATGTTGGACAAGGATTATAATTGAGTGGTACAATTGAAAGTTGTATCTCTATCTTTATCAAATTGATTAGCTTATTGTCAGGAACTCTTTTTTTTTGGCTATATCTTGAGCTGTGTAGCTAACTCACCCAAATGCTTGTGTAGATTTCTATTCATTCTTTAAATGTAGTTACACAAACATTTACAGCATCTGAAGACCTTTGGGTTTGGGGAAAAAAAATGACATACCTTCACATATTTAGCATACAACTGCTCATCCAGTGGGAAGCTCTGGACAATACGCTCATCACGGGCATGGAACGTACCAAGCTTTACCCACTTGTTGGTTGGATATCTGCAAACAGAGCAAATAAACAGTATAGTGCAGACATTGGTTTATTAAAGCCATTGTCTAATACAGTGGTTTTCAAAGTGGATGGCTGCCTGGTGTTGTGCGGGTGTGTGCAAACCGCTGATATAATGTACTGATAGTGACAATCATTTTTGTTTCATACAGAACGATTGGTTTCCTCTTGGCTTAAGATATAATTCTCTTAATGAGAAGAAAGTAAAACTAGCTGTAAGTATTTTCCAGCTCGGTGACATAACTGTGGTTTGAGTTGAGTAAAACACCCTGGCCTTCCAGTTCATTACATAAACCCAACCTAAAGAATTACTGGGGCAATTCTTTGTAATGAATACACAAAATAAAATACACTTAATTTGTATCTGTTTTAAAAAAAATACATTAGCAGATCTCTAGTGCAGAGTAACGTAAACTTAAAGACATGCCTTTTTAGTTTGTCCTACTCCCTCTATAGCACTGAAAAGAACATTGATCATTTTTTTTACTCATGAAGAGTGACTGTGTACTTACCTATCACTGATGGACACTAAAAAGTCTTTAGGTGTGGATGAGAAAAGTTCAAAGTTTGCAATATCCAGCTGCTTGACTTGAATAGGCTCACAGAGCTCAATGACAAACCTAGAAGGAAATTTATATGAAACTGTTGACTAAACATTGGGACAAAATATGTGACACCCACTTCTCTAAAATAAGGTTATGTGCAGAGAACTGTATGGGTTTTATGTAACTCACCAGATTTTGGTGCTGCAAGGATTTAGCATGTAAAGATCCATGTTTTCCATTAGAATAGCTGAAGTGCTCTGGTTGAGAGAGAAAAATAAGAACTGATTAATTTTTAACAACCACTCACTATGCTCAAGTAAAATGTGGAAAAATACCCTAAATGTTTTTTTTTACCCTTACATGCTCATAATACATGACTTCTACAGCTGTGTGTGTATGTGTATAAGCGACAGAACTGCTGTGTGTTTATTTAACCTTAGCCTCATTGTTAGCAGAAAGTATCTTGGCACCACACTCCACAGAAGCATAGTTGTTCTTGAAGTTTTTCTGGACCTTCTTCACAGGATGGGGGCTGCCGTTGCTTGAAGTATGAAGAGACTGACCTGAGCATAAAATGTGTTACATGTGGCCCATTAGTGTCACAGGAGAAAGAACACGTAGTCCATTTGTGTCACAGGACATGGAACATTGCCTATGTGGAACATGTAGAGGGGGTTATGTAACACACACACACAAAAAAACCACACGCTCCACTGACCACTGCACAGGCACAGAAGAGAGAGAGAGAGAAGGAAGGAAAGATGTGGTAAAAGAAAAGACCTGGAACATGAGGAAGGAAGCTACAGTGACAGGCAGATGTAGACATGCCAAAAGAACAACGAACATGAAGCACAAAGGTGTAACCCAATCAGAAGCAGATTCAGATATTTGTCTAAAGACTCAAGAATGGAATCTGTGCCTGACACTGCACCACCCACTGATATTATTGTCATTACTATAGTTGTATTATCCAAATACAATTAGGTAGAGATCTCTACTTCTGCACTTCTTAACACATGCATCTAAATGTGTATTTTTATAACAGATACACATACTTTTTTCCTTCTCCACCTCCATGACCTGCTTCTTCCACTCATCAAAGGTGGGTATATCATCTTTGCTTGGTACCGAGGGATCAGTCTCTTTGGCGATACCCTCATCTCCTTCCTGAGACAGACAAAGCATCGTATCACTTACAGACACAGCCATGTCTGTAAACCAAACATCAGCAGGCCACACATCCACATCTTCCTAATAATCATGTACAATAATATAAAATAAAGGACAAGAAGATTAAAAGCTACATTATAGCATAACACCCATCATTAATGAATCAAAAGATTGCAGCCGCTACATACGAAGGATATTACATGCACTGAGAAACACTTGAAGGTCGTTAGTTCTGAAGCACTGAGCTGTAAAAAAATTGGGATGTGTTATGTAAACAGACTTTTGAAACTGACTTTGGAGTCTGAGCCCTAAAATCCAACAACTCAGATGTTTACATAAGAGATGGTGTGACAGCAGCCAATGCCACATATTAATGCCAGACACTGCCTCTCAGGACAGTGCAGACCCCAAGAAACTAGTCTCTTAAAATGTTTCATCCCTTAAAAATACTGACCCCAAAAGGTTTTTCACAACACACACAATCATTCAGATGTTTACACAGGTAACTTACCAGCTGTTCTTTATGATGGTGTTGGGTGGTGTTACTCTCCTGGACCAAATCTGACACTTCATCCTTCTGCTCTTTCTGTTGTTGTTGGTCCAGGTTCTCTTGGCCAAGTGTAGCCTCTGTTTCAGAAGTTGAACTGCTGTTCTGATCGGACCGCTGTTCTTTTTTGTCAGCCTCGTCAACACTACAGACAAAACCGGGAACAATGGAATGGAGAGGGAGAAGGAGTTGAAGGGTGGAAAGGAGAGGAATAACGACAGTAAAAAGAAAAAAAAAACACAAATTAGATCTTTTCAATTTTGGACACAATTACATAGAAGAAACTACTACAAATTACACATTTTGTCGTGCAACATAAATTTAAAAAGAATATATATATATAGGTTAGGCCAGCGGTCGACGATTTTGGTCAGCAGACAGGTGGGGTTCGTACCTTCATTACCTTTCTCTGAGCTCTCATTGGTTTCAGGGGTTTAGAAACTCACCTTGGGAAAATGGTGCCAAAAGGGGGTTTTTCACAGGTTGCCAGTTCGGGGGGAATAACCCCACACTGTGAATCAGAGTGCTCAGCACAAACAAAGGTGTCTACTGGGAGTTCATCTCCTCCACTGGCAACCCACACTGCACTGAGGGGAAAGAAAGGACACGGCGTTTACCACACCACCTCGCACTGTCGAAGGTGAGAAAAGGGCGGTGGGGTTAAAGAAAGGAAAGAAAGGAGAGGAAAAGATAAACAACACAGAGCAAAAAGGAGAAAGAGAATGAGAGGAAGGGGTGGACAAAAAGGGACCAAGATGTCCTTTTCCTTGGAAGACAGCTGTAGTTCACAACGTCAAAAATCCTGATGTTGAAGGTCCGCATACAGAGAGCTTAAACAGAGGCTGCCATGACATGGGGCATTGTCTCCGTGCATGTTATCTTGGCTGTACTTCCATGTTCATGTCCGTGGTTTGAATTCAAGTCCACAAATGTCCATCGATTTGCAAAAGTTATGAACAACTGAAATTCATTCGGCAGGTAACCAGTTCCATTTGAAGTGACGGAAACATCCGGTATGAGCACAATTGTCCTTGGCACTTTCTCGCAGTGTTTAGACTCACAGTGATTGAGAAAGAAAATAAATCTTATGGAAAGACAATGCTAAAATAAAGTAACTTACAAATTATAAAAGGCTGGCTTTAACCTCTATAAGAAGGACCAGTATTTATTTATTAGTACATTTTAACTCAGAAGTTGTGGCTGTACTGTGGTTTAGCCAACTTCTGCTACCAGAGAGCAGAGCTATGTTATGAGGAAGTGAATGATATGATAGCTTACCCTGTGTGGGCTGGGCTTGCACTCTCTGAGGTAGGTGTGTTGTCTGCTTCATCAGCGGATGTGACTGGGTTTGGGACCAGATGTGCAGCAGGAGGATCACTGATGACTTCTGTTTGGGGTTCAGAATCTGTGACCTCCTGGTCATGTGCAGGAACTGGTTCGGGATTCAGGGTCGGTAATGCAGGTTCTTGTATAATTTCCTGGTGGTCTGTCTGTGGGTCCGAATGCTTCTGTGGCTCTGAGTGAGGTTCTGGTTCAGGGACGATGTATGCTGTGTCAGACTCTAGTCCATGCTTGGTCTCCTCCACCTCAGCTACTTGAGGATTCACAGTCTGAGAAGAGGGAGAGAAAAAGAAACCACATAATAAACAGAATACAAATAGAATACTAAATTACCTAGAACTGCTTTACTAATAGAGTACAATACCCTACAGCAGGTTATCATTTAGCATAAAGTGGGAAATGGACAAATTACAACAGGTGGGCCATGGTATTTAATGCAAAATTGTTTGGGTCCTATGTTTCAAATACCAATGTATGTTCATGTTCTTCTGTAGAATGACTATAAATAGACATAAAAACAATGATGACATAAATATGAGGAAATGTATCGTAAAAGAAAAACACAAGGACGTTGTTACCTGTTCTTGATGTTTATTATTTTGTGTTGCGAGTTTCTCTAATACTGCTCTCTCCGTCTCCAGTCCCACATCATATGATGTCTGTATTGTCCACTCATCCGCCACCTACAGGCAAACAGATGCAAAAATGGATACCAAAGGTACAAAGGAACTTTGTCATTTGATAGTATAGGAGGAATTCATTCAAAATCAGTTTAAATGAATTGACATTCATAACTTGAATCTAAACATTATCCATAGACAGAATCACATCATTTTGTTGGTACACAAAGAGTCTGTTATTGGGTCAGTGACAGACGGCCAGGCCTGCTTCACAGACCTCACGAGCCTATTGGCTGGTAGAACACAGACAATGATTCCCATTCTACATTGTTCAACAGCATCACACACATCTGTAAGATGTTATTCATCCTGGTTTGACTCTTCACACAAACAAACACCTAGATACATAAAAGTCACCACATAAAACTATCCATTAATGCATCAGCTCATTACAGGTAGTCAGAATCTGACACTGAAGGTAGTGGCTTTCTTTCACATTTCGTTTAATAGTCATAGTAATGACTAGCATAGTAATATGCTCGATTTGCATATTATTTCTTAGGTTGTACAATAAAAGCGGTTGAAGGTAGAAAGAAATATAAACTTTAACCAACATGAACCTTTAAAATCTGAATACTGGCTTGAGATTTTACATTTCAGTCTTATATTTACTTTATTTTAATAATTTACTGCTTTAATGAACCTACAAGACAAGTCTTGCAATAGTTCAAACTTCAATATTCAACACAATGTTATCTATTCCTACTGTGGAATTAGAAACATTCATTTTATAGTAGGTACTAATTCATATATCTGGAATTATTGGGAGCAATCTGTGGACTATACCGTGTCCAGATTAATCACTGTGATACCTGTACTAGTTCTTTTGTGATCAGCAATGAAAGCAAGAGCACATTGTAGAAAATGACAGGACTAGATGAGAACAAAGTAGGAGACGGGGAGGTTGTAACCACATGTTCACAACTGTCCTCCTTTTTCCGGGAAACGTGCTAAACATCACTGTGTTCAGTCCAACTGTACAGCATGTTATATGTTTTAGATAAGGCATCAGCAGCACGTCACCAGTAAAGGGCAAAGGACCCATGATCCTCCCCCGTACCACTTACATGTTAACACGACAGAACGACATCATCACTTGACCTAAATACTGACCAACTTCTTACTAAACGGTATGACTGTCATGGACTAATGCAAGACCATCACTTCTCCTTACACGATTCCTTATCATCAAGAACGTTCACACCAATTGCTTCCAGCCCCTCGGACCACACCTCCTACTTTCCACCAGGGGTTAGTGGGTCACCAAAGTGCATGGTCCAACGCTCACTACTCTAACCTATTGGTGTTCTGCTAAGTCATACATTTCATCAGGAGCTGTGAGTCTAATAATACCCAGCAGCAGTGCACAGCCAAAAAGATCAAGCGGCAACATGGAATAAAATGAAACATTCTTTCTCACGGTTTTACTGAACCTGTTAATGTCATTAAATACTATCTCGGTAGACTGGTTTTTATTGTTTACTTTAGAACTTGTGTGCTTATTTAATTAACTCAATTATATTCATGCATACAGCACTATCACATGTATTCAACACAAACCTTGTGTTGTTCGGAGTCCAGCTCCTGCTCGTGGCCATCAGGGCTGTTGTCCCTGGCAGACTGACCTGGGCCAGACAAGCTCTGCTCTGTACAAAACACATTTTGACAGGGGTACCTGCAAAACAAGAAGAAAGATATTTGTCAGTTAAACTCCAACCAACATTGGTGAAATGCATAACTAACTAAAATTTGTAGAACTTTCTGGCAAAATCCACTCAAAAACAGTCTTTTGTGATTTTTTTTTTTTTTTTTTTACTAAAAAGTGCATGGCTTGCAGTCTTTTATAAGAATCAAAAGGAGAAAGAGAAGAATAAGGGTTATACCCGTTTCTCCTCTCTCCAGTGGACATTTACAGCCCTTCACAGGTTTTGCTCCAGGCCTAAGATTTTGCATCATGCCTCATGCCTGATTTCCTGTCCAACAACCATATAGCATGATATAATATGAATAACAACCGCTGACGCCTCCCCTTTATATACAACACAGAGCTGCAGCAGCTCTTACAGTGCACTTAAGGCAAACTGGATCTAAAGCTCTGAAACATAAGAATTGCTGCTGTTACTTCTACATTGTGAATAACTATATTTAGATAAACATCAGGGGTTTGTGGGAAAAGAGACAGATATTAGGAGATCACAATTGGTATACAGATCAGCAGCATGTCCGTTGTAAAGCCTGAGCAGAAGAGTATATTCACGGTACAACTGTAAATAAGAACAGGACAAAGCCATCCACAGTCCTGGTAAAACACCTGAAGTTTGAGTAGAAACTCAATTTGTACTGGAGAGTCTGTAAAAGAAAGCCACTTCACAATTGACACACTATTAACACTCTTTTGATGGCAAAAGATTAGATTTATGAGCAGACAACAGCCTAATAAAATATAGCCATTTTAAACTATACACTGTGACAACCTCCACTCAGCTCAACATGTCATTTACTGAATTTATTTTGAAGATTAAAACCTATTTTAAAAAGTTGTTGGTTATCCCACTGGCGTTGTTTAATATTTCTGATGAAGGTCATCCAACAAAGGACAGAATGTTTGTTTTCAATGTAATAATTTCCGTAATAACTGTAATAACTTAATTTAGATTCTGAGAAAATTTTTCCAAATAAAATACTGTGTGGCAGGTATATGACCAAGGTCCATTATTTTCTGAAATTAAATTCAAAGTTGTTTAATTTTATCATTTGATCTTTAGACTTTCAGTGACTAAGTCATCTTTGTCTGTTCTGTCTGTTTCTCTACATGAAGAGAGAACATTTATGCATGTTAATGTAGATCCTGTCTGACAAATGTACACACGTTCCACAAGTTATGTGTTAAGGTATAAGCTTTCACTGAACAGGCTGCTTAGGGCCACAACACCAGTAGAAGAAATCCATGAGCGCTGGTGATTATATATACTCGTAAATATGAACCATCATCCTATATGGACGCAGGGCTAAAATTAGTTGCATAGCTTGAAACTATACTGTGTTGCGTTCATGAGTGTCTCATGTTTCCCAGACCGTCTGCTAAAGACAAATATAGGTTTGTGAAGATGCTAAGTTATGTAATCCCTCCCAATTATCATAAGGACAACGTAAAAAGTGGAAAAGTGTGACCCCTGCAGAGACAGCAAGGTCATCTATCATTTTGTATACAAAGAAAATGAAAAGAAAGCAACAGGTTAAAACACTTTATAATAGGAACTATACTATAAATTTTAATAACACCATCAAACTGTGATCTACATTGCTTTACAAGTGACATACAAAGAGGATTGTGGTTTATTTTGTTTTTTACTTAATTTAACAATCTATTCATATCTAAAGCTGAACACATGACGGTCTCTTGACGTGTCTATTCCTTCCTGTCAGCCATTCTTCTCATGATCGCCACCCATGTATAAAGGCTCATAACTCATTGATGTGCAAATAATAAAAAAAAAAATCATTGACATTACTTTGAAGTGTTAAGAGGAAAACAAGGCAGTCAGAAGTCAGTGCCCCACACTTCTACAAGCTCGTTCATTCTGATCGCTCATTACACAAAGAAGCCTTTCGTCCATCCTGTGTTTGTTACATGTATAATTCAGGAGGGTTTCTTCCAGAGTAGTGCAGGAAACGAAGTAGTACCACCGAAAATGGTGGGGGCAGTGTTACGCAGTAAAGCCTGCATGCGACCAGTAAGGAGCAGAGAAGACAAGATGTGCTAGCAGTTCAGAACCCCTATCGATCACCATCTACAGAAAGTTATCTTGCTGGTTCACAATGACAGAGAGAGTCTGAAGGTAGCGTGTGGGTAGGTAGTGTAAGTGTGTGGGTAGTGGAGTTTGAGACCAACATAACGATTTACGTAGATAAAGGGTGCATGAATAAGGCTTTCCTGTAAAGGTTCTGGGTAAAGGACTTCCAAAGCACAAACTTCACAATGAGGAGGAGCATCATGAAGATCCTTACCTTATTGATAATATTTAATCTATTAACATGAAAGAAAGCAGCCTTATATATTCTGTAGAGGTTACATGCTAGGTATGTGGCCATCTATGTTTAGACATAAGACAATAGTTCAAAGAACAAGGTACGTCAGCCTCACAAAAGGTAAACGTTACCGCCCTTTCTAAAAGGTTGTCAATCACTGATAGTAAAACAAACACTCGTGTAAATAGACACTGTGACGAAATACCTCAACACAAGGCTGTTTTACGTAAATGTGAAGTCACAGAGTCAACAAATAGAAAAGTCCGGGAAGGCTTATTCAAATAAGAATGACTTTCATTTTTAAACTGAACAATTGTTTGGAACGAAAACATCGTAGTCGCACACAATATGGATATAAGTAAAGCAAACAAAAACAGTGTGGATCAACTCAAGGTTGCAATACTTTTACCTTATGGGCTAAAAGTAAACAAAAGACAAAACTATGAAAAAGGACAGAATGATCCCCTCTAACCTCTTCTGTGCCTCGTATTCATGAATATATGTAAAGATGTGTCTGCTCTCATTACTGCTGAAGCGGTGAAAGCTACAGGGGAGAAAATTGCTTTGGGGATGTAAAGTGGCACATTATAACAATTGAAGTTTAAAAAATTGGTTGGAGGATACTTTGTTCATTTTTTTTTTTTTTTACACCAACACTTCCCCTTCAATTTGGATTCAGGGAAACAGAAAATGGTTAATAATGTAAATCTGTAAGTCTGTATATGCTGTCGAAGACATTATCAACTTTGGACAGATGAAGACAGCCATGCCAACTCCTAATGCCCAGCCTAATGGACGTTCTAAGCATATGTTTCTAAACGACTGCCTTTCTTTTTCCACCCCAGATCTAATTTCAGCTCATGATTCTTCAACAAGTTCTTAACTAACAGCACATACACCAAGGCACGACTTAACTGTCTTCAAAAGACAATACTGTGTCACTGTGTCAACAAAGCCAAAAAACACACACAGCAGAGAACACTTTGTAAAAACTAAAGCCTTTTTCACACAGAAATGTAGAAATTCAAACATTTCTGCCCATGTTTTGTGATTTGTTTTTCTATAAAGCAGAAAAAAAGCATATCATACTGGTGTAAACATAAACACAACAAGCTTTAGAACCACATGGACTATGCCGTCGACTCATTTAATATTTAATATATCATAAAAGAGCAAAGACAGAAGTCAAATTATTACAACCCAAACTCACAATGAAGCAACAAAGTCAGATCGAAGCAAACTGAGCAAAATAAGTTAGAAGGAGATAAGCAAAAGGAAGATTTTATCAGAAAATTATACAGCAATGTCAATGCTTGGGTTTTGTACCAGAGCTCAGCAGAAAATGTAGGTTAAACATGCCAGATGGACATACAGACATACTGTGTTTGTCTGGAGAAAGTCTAGCCATAGAAGACAAAATTTTAGTCAACATTCAGTTTAAACACTACTGATCCTCCATAGTCCACTCGACTTGTGCATTGTCTTGGTAGCCAGAATGTTGTGGCAAAAACGGTGAATACCTCTCATGCCAAAACATTACCACAGCTAAATTCAAACCCTGTGGTAGGCATGTTAACAAAGATACAATTGTTATCCAAACTGTTCCCTGCAGAGATTTTTAGTAACTAACACATTTTGTCTCACTTTCCGACTCACTACTATTTTTTTTCCTCAATATTACATTCCATATTTTTGTCGTACAACAGTGGAAGAGATATTTTCAACATTCCACCTCCTACATAAAACCACCATGTCTGTTTAAGGCCAGAACAAATGAATACATAATTCGAATATAAAACAATTTGCCATATTCACATTGTGTTTATACCAAAAGTGGTACACTTTAGGTTTTAATTAATATATAATAAATTGATGAAATTCAGTCATTTCCAGCAGTAGGTTGTTATCAAAATAACTGCCATATAAAATCCCCAAATTTTATATTGTTAGTCTGAGGACTCCTGCAAAAAATTGAATTACTTCTTCTAACTAGTATTGACTTAACTCTGAGTACACTGGCTCGATGACACACATAAATACTTCAAAATTTACACAGGACACTTTGTCTAGGATGTAGTATGAATGAACAAACACACCTTTATTGGGACAGTAGCTGGAGTTTGGAAAAAAGCTGCCATGCCTGTAGGCTGAAGTTCGCCTAACATGACTATTACAACGAGTGAAGCTGAGTTTCTTATACATAACACAAGTTCAAAGAGGACTGCATGGGTTTAGTAATAAGTTGATTAAGTTAATTAAATAAAAAGAACAAAATAAAAGCTTCAGGGTGACTAGCTTGTTTGAGTCACATTATTTGTTCATTTTATTGTATTAATTATTCATATCAGTGTAGTTAAAGGCTCAGGCACACTTTTACCTCAACCCGTTCAATGCAGCAACATAAACATTTCCCACAAAAAAACAAATGCCTAGACTTTCTGTGTTAAAAGTTTTTTGTTAAGAAAAACCTAGCACTTCGCAAAACTTAGCAATACAGCATGCGCCACAGTAGCTAAGTCAGCCTGGCTTCCAAGTGCATTGCCTTTTTGCTGCAATTCTTAGTGAGATGCTGGAGAGGCAACAAAGGTTACTGAGTCAAGCGTACACTACAGTTTATGCTAATGAATCATTTCAAAGACGGGACAA